TATTCTAACTATTTTGCAATGTTTGGTTTCCACTCTTCTGGAATGTACTGTACTGAGTGCTGTTTATTATTTTAATAAACAAAAACAAATGTGTTTAAGACATTTGAATATAATGTATAAGAAGCTTGAATATAGCTAAGTTGAATTTAAGTTTGTGCAGTTTGAACAATGCAATCATAATATTCTTTATTCATATTGCACTTTATGTTATATATCTAATTATTATTATTAATATATTATTATGTTAACACTCAGTGATGAAAATAAACACGATTTTGTTGTTTCAGCTCATTTATGTGTCTATTCATTGAAATGTGAAAAATTTTGCTTCTCATGTCAAATATTGATATGAGATTAATTGAGATTAATTCATTACAAAGCCTCTAATTAATTCGATTTTTTTTTTAATCGAGTCCCACCACTAGATATAATACATAACATTATATTATTAAATTAAATTATATATTATATAATATATTAGTATAATAGGGTGTGTGTGTGTGTGTGTGTGTGTGTGTCTGTCTGTGTCTGTGTGTGGGACGTGCTGATTGGTCGGTTTGTCCCCTTAGCTCATCCTCTCTGAATTCCCAGAATTCCTTCTGTCCTGTGGGATCATGTTGAGGAGCAGCGACGCCCAGACATGTTCAACACGTGTGTGTGTGTGTGTGTGTGTGTGTGTGTGTGTGTGTGTGTGTGTGTGTGTGTGAGAATAAATAATAATACAATAAATATATAATAATCTAACCTGACTTCCTGTCACACTGTCACTGCGGGTTTCCATGGCAACAGGAAGGAAATATTAATAATAGTTTTATTCATTTGAGTTTGTTTAGTTGTTTGTATTAATGTATTTATTTATTTATTATTTACACTTTATCCAGTTTTATTTTCTAAACTTCTTCCTCTTTCAGAGTCATTGATTGATTGATTTATTCATTTATTCACTGATTGATTGATTGATTGATTGATCGATTGATTGAGGTTCTTTAAAAAAAGTTAAAAAAACAAACAGCAGCAGAGATCTGATCCTGTACCAGTCACAGTACACCAGGACCCTGTAAGACCCTGTAGGACCCTGTAAGACCCTGTAGGACCCCGTAGGACCCTGTAAGACCCTGTAAGCCCCTGTAGGACCCTGCAGGACCCTGCAAGACCCTGTAAGACCCTGTAAGACCCTGTAGGACCCTGTAGGACCCTGCAGGACCCTGCAAGACCCTGCAAGAACCTGTAGGACCCTGTAGGACCCTGCAGGACCCTTTAAGACCCTGTAGGACCCTGTAGGGCCCTTTAAGACCCTGCAGGACCCTGCAAGACCCTGTAGAACCCTGTAAGACCCTGTAGGACCCTGCAGGACCCTTTAAGACCCTGTAGGACCCTGTAAGACCCTGTAGGACCCTGCAGGACCCTTTAAGACCCTGTAGGACCCTGTAAGACCCTGTAGGACCCTGTAGGACCCTGTAGGACCCTGTAAGACCCTGTAGGACCCTGCAGGACCATGTTGGACCCTGTAAGACCCTGTAAGACCCTGTTGGGCCCTGCAGGACCAGAAACAGAACCAGGACCAGGACCCTGTGGGAGCCTGCAGTGCTGAAGGGAGTGGACTCACCATGTCTGCGGTCTGTCGGCTCCTCCGCTCTCACTTCCTGCTTTCAGCTAAAAGTTGAGAAGTCTTGAGTCAGTCTCAGGTCCAGGATCCAGGATTCAGAATCCAGGGTTCAGGATCCAGGTGAGCTCAGCCTGAATCCGGGTCAGATGAGTCCAGATGGGTGGGGTTGGGGTCAGTGGATCTGGACTCTGTTGAACATTTCCTTCTCACTTTGTTTCCTGTTTGTCTTCCTTCGGTCTTCAGTCTTCAACTGCCTGCAGGTGTGGGCAGGTAAAGCCCCACCCCCTCCTCCCCCTCCTGCTGCTGCTCCTCCTGCCCCTGTGGAACTCTGGGTAATGTAGTCCTGACCCCGATCAGCGCCAACAGCAGAATCACAGAGCAGGAAACATCAATAACATCAATAATCTGATCAATGACATCAATAATATACATTTTAAAGACTTTTACTGTTTATATTTCTTATGTTTGTGTTTTGTTTTTATTTTCTTCAGTTTAATAAATCTTATAATTATAAATCTGCTGCTGTTTATTTCTTAGTATTTATTTATTTTATTGCTCTTTTAAATATGATCAACCTGTGAGAGCTGCTCTGTAAACAATTGATTATTGATCATATTTGTGTGAAACTGGAAACTATATATAAAGAAAATAATGTTCATATAATATAATATCCTCAATATCTAATCAATAGTGGACAGATGTTATAAATATTATCCTCAATATCTAATCAATAATGGACAGATAAATGTGCAGTGAATTCAGATACAATCAATAATCTACAGACGTCCTGTTGGTGATTCTTTTATTGACAGATGCTGTTACAATATACAAACTTATAATATTAATAATACATTAATAAATGAATAATAATTTAATAAATGAATAATATTATATTAATCATATATTATTATTATAATAATTTTATATTATTAATAATAATAAGAAGTATACAACAACCTACATATGCATATTACTATTATATAACCCAAAGAACAAGAAGAAATAAATAAATAAAATAAAGTATATATAAATTATATGTATAATATATATAATTTATATATAATATATAAATTGTATATATTATATAACAATAATTAATAATAATAACAACAGAGACAATCATAAATTAATAAGAAGAAGAACACTAAATAAAATGAATAAATGTATTTAAGAAGTATATTATAGTGAACAGTAGGGGGAGCTCAGAGTGCATGCTGGGAGTTGGAGTCTGACGCAGCAGCAGGCCGACAGTGTAAAGGTCAGATTGACTCATCGGTTGATTATTAAACGTTCAGAAAGAAAGACCCCAGTATGGAGCAACAGAGGTCGAAGGTTGGAGGTCAGCTCATGGTGCACACTGCTGCTCCTGGCAGCTCCATTAATGAGTCCACAGTTGAGATCGTACCTACGGTTCATCCTGTTGCATGTTGGGATGGTGATGGTTGTTCCAGGTATTAGTCAGACCCTAACAGAGGGAACTGGTCTGCTCTGAAGAAAGTGGTACTGGTCCAAGTTCACAACAGCGACATCATTAGAAACTCAGGCAAAGTGGTGTAAAGGCTTTTATTTTGAAACTGTGTATACGCCCGTTTCCTGTACAGTTTTATTTTCTTTATTTATTTATATTTTAAAAGTTCTTTACTTTATTCACCAAGATTAATTCCTCGTAACCGACCCCGAAATAATTCACTGGTTCTGTTCACTGGTTCTGCTCACTGGTTCTGTTTTTACTGGTTCTGCTCACCGGTTCTGCTCACTGGTTCTGTTCACTGGTTGTTTTTACTGGTTCTGTTTACTGGTTCTGCTCACTGGTTGTTTTTACTGGTTCTGCTCACTGGTTGTTTTTACTGGTTCTGCTCACTGGTTGTTTTTGCTGGTTCTGCTCACTGGTTCTGTTTACTGGTTGTGCTCACTGGTTGTTTTTACTGGTTCTGCTCTCTGGTTCTGTTTACTGGTTCCGCTCACTGGTTCTGCTCACTGGTTGTTTATCCTGGTTCTGCTCACTGGTTGTTTTTATTGGTTCTGCTCACTGGTTCTGTTTACTGGTTCTGCTCTCTGGTTCTGTTTACTGGTTCTGCTCACTGGTTCTGCTCACTGGTTCTGTTCACTGGTTGTTTTTACTGGTTCTGTTTACTGGTTCTGCTCACTGGTTGTTTTTACTGGTTCTGCTCACTGGTTGTTTTTACTGGTTCTGCTCACTGGTTGTTTTTGCTGGTTCTGCTCACTGGTTCTGTTTACTGGTTGTGCTCACTGGTTGTTTTTACTGGTTCTGCTCTCTGGTTCTGTTTACTGGTTCCGCTCACTGGTTCTGCTCACTGGTTGTTTTTACTGGTTCTGCTCACTGGTTGTTTATCCTGGTTCTGCTCACTGGTTGTTTTTATTGGTTCTGCTCACTGGTTCTGTTTACTGGTTCTGCTCTCTGGTTCTGTTTACTGGTTCTGCTCACTGGTTGTTTTTACTGGTTCTGTTTACTGGTTCTGCCCACTGGTTGTTTTTACTGGTTCTGCTCACTGGTTGTT